TAAAATATATAAGATTCAGCGAAAGCAGAGCATAACATGAAGGTCTGAGATGCCAGACGAGTCCCAGATGAGTTTAGGATGAGTCAGAGACCTAAAAAGTCTCCAGGCGATGATTTCAATTTGGACATTTTTTTTCTTCAGGGAGCTTGCATGCAGATGAATGGCTGTATTTGGGTTTTGATTTAAGGTGTTTTTCTGTCCTACTGAAGAATGGCGCTATTATTCTTTTAATCATCTGATCCAGATGCTTTAATGAGAATATAACAGTGCTGCACATCTTTGCTAAACAATATGCTGAATAAATCGAGACATCTCGCCTGTGAATGTTACAAATCACTTGCGTCACAGTAAATGGGTCTGTAAAGCCATGTTGTCAGCAGATCGCTATTAAGAGCGCATTTGCTAATGAGTGCCGTCTGAAGGAGTGATTTTAGTGTACTCATGCAAGCAGTATGAAAAAGTCATTCTGAAGTGCTAAAAAGATTCCAATTTGATTTGCCCATTTAATGACCAAAATCAAATTAAATATTTAACAACAGTAGGCCTGGCTGAAAAGATGGACCTCTTCCTGGGGAAAACTGTCGTACTTGGTGGTCAGATGATCAAGTTAGTTTTTCCAACACAGTAGCTGGATTCTGTACTTGCTCAAAATAGTTTACCAGGGGTGTATTCCAGAAAGCAGGTTATGTGACATACCCGGGTATGTTTGAGGATAAGAGAGCGGATAACCTCAGCTTTCGGTTCCAAAATCGGAGGTTACTTTCAGGGTATGCAAGTAACCATAGTAACTTGCTCTCTGAAGATAACCTGCTCCGGAGTAGGTTATGTTCCAGGGTTTGTTTACTTCAGAGACATCAGCGCACGCGTGACCTACTGACGAGCCTTCAGTGGGCGTGACAGCGCCACATACCTCGAGTAAGTAAGGTTTGGGGTTAATCAACCGAAAGTTCAGGGTTTAGCTGACGGTAAGTTAACCGTGCTTTCTGGAATACACCCCAGCTCTAACCAGACCGACCAAAAATAAATAAATAAATAAATAAAAGCCTAAATAAATGACACTAAAAGTGGCTAAATAAATTGAAATAAATGGCAATACATGAATGGCAATAAACAAAAAGCTAAATAAATGAAAATAAATACATGGCAACAAATAAATGGCAATAAATAAATATCTAAATGGATAAATTGGAATAAAAATGTTTTAATGGCTTAATAAACAGAAATTAACGGAAATAAATTAATGGCAATAAATAAATGCTAAATGGCTAAATAAACACAAATAAATTAATGGCAATAAATAAATGGCTGAATAAATGGCAATAAATAAATGGCAATAAAAATTTCGAAATAGCGAAATAAATGAAAATTAAAAAAAAAGTCAGAATGGCTAAATAAATGACAATAAATAAATGGCTATAAATAAATGTCTAAATGGCATAAATGAATGAAGAAATTAAATAATGGAATGAATTAATTGAATTATATCAAGATTGAGGAAAACGATATGAAATTTGGAAATATCCTGCCATAGAACAGATGTCACCCTTGACCCCCCAACTCAATATATTATTCAAGATTTCTGATTACATGAAGCTTGTTTGTGTGTTATTGATTGTGCTGATGCATAAACTCTAAAACCACATGTGATCAATGACAGTTTCACATCGACTGTAGTTGAACAATTATCTCCTGACACACTGACTTTGGCTAAACTACTGTATTTTAAATTATAATTTGAGAAAAAAAACGAGTCAAGTTCAGTTATTACTTTGACTTATTAGAACACTATCTTTAAGCTACTCAATGCAACAATCTCAGAACATTACATACAGTCAGGTTCCCTGATGTGAGCCATCAGTGAGGTCTTTCCTCTTGACCTCTGGCAAACAAAAATGGCAAACTTCATCCATCTATGGTTTGCTAAATCGATACACCGGGACATTAGAGCTTTGATGAAGTGACCAGGTCAGCAGCCCCATCAGACCACCAGCTGTGTATTACTCTTACCTAGTTTAATTCATCAAACAAACAAATTATTATTATTATCCATCATCATCATTATTCTTATTATTCTTATTATTGCCAATAGGCTTTACTTTACAATACAGTCTACTGCATGTCAAATGACTGTTCTCTGAACAAATGACTTATAGCTTTTTTCTTATGCCAACGTCAAACAATGGCATCTAATTAGAGTAAGACAAAATCCCCAGAACCGAATAAGACCTCATCAGAATGAGGCTAAACGAAGTCATTGGAAAAAAACACCTGACTACAAAAACAGTTCCTTGCTTTTCTGAAGTTGAGGAACTCTTGAAACATCTGCAACAGTATTATTCAACCACAAAGTATGCACGTCATGATTAAATACTTTAAAATTAAGCACACCAAATTAGCATGCTAAATTGACAGCCCTACTAATTATACAATAAATCACATTTATATTACACCCGGTCTGTTTTCTCAGTGTCTGCTTTTCCAGGGTATTGTAATATCGACACAGCAGTCAGACAGGTGTCTGTTAATGAGTCTGAGCAATATTCCACTTATTAATTAACCCTAAACATTTCATACTAACAATGCTGCTAATTAACATGACTGCATTATGACAACAGGCTTAGGAACAAACACACCATCAATAACAATCTTTTTAAGGGCAGCAACTCTGTCGGAGTGCGTCATAATGAATATTTCATGAAAATAATCAAATGCCACTCACTCTAACGAGTAGCTAAATACGAGTAGCTCCACACATCTTTCACATCTAGTGGTGTGCTACAAACTGAGGTCTTTTAAAAACTTTCGGAGATGTGCAACACCTTCCTCCATTGATTAGTCCAACCTACTGTATATCAGTACACTGCATATCTGTATACTGCATATACTGTATGCATATACTGTATACTGCATATCATAACCTACTGTAACTCATCTTAAATCCCAAAAATACAGCTTTTTTCTTTGTCTCAGCAGAGTCAGACTGCAAGAGTCGCTACGTAAACTCTTTAGTGATCCATCAACTGCATAAGATTTTCAATTATCTGTCTCTAACTGCTGCAAAAATGAAAAAAAAAAGTTTTCTAAAAAAACAGTTCAGTGCACATTCAATAGACACTGCGTAAACAAACTGAAGTGCTAACAGTCTGATTCTATGTTCTTCCCTTCACACTGTATTTAGTTCTGCGCTGAAGTGCATTTGTGTAATCAATGCGAGCACCTTGAGTATTAGTGGCAGCTGTTTTCCACTGTAGCTCAGGAGAAAACTCCAAATGAAGACGTGTGCTTTACTTTTTCATTCCTGTTTTTGGCCTTTTGGTTTTACTACTCTATGCTAATTGTCAATCATCTTTGACGATAGTGGTCCTGACAGCAAAACCAAAGCAAAAGGAATGAAAGTATAAAACGCACTGGTTTTGCAGAAATGAATGTGGGATGCTACTCGAAAGAAATTGAGGAATTTGCTTCTCAAAAGCTTTTTACTTCCACAAATTAGGCCAGATGGAATTTAAGTTTGTAAAGCCTACTGTCTCATATTTGATACACAAATTTCTAAGGCCTCCAAATTATTAACATGGTCAAAACTTTACTGATGTACACAATCGACTACATGTCTTCAGTTTATACTTTTATTAGGTAAGTAAAAGGCCTTTTAATTTGTAAAAACATCCACCTTCAGGTTGTGGTTCACGTGTCATACGAACCAAAACAAAAGGGACGAATGAACGTTACTGAAAAACTTTCTTTCTTACCTGTATGTTGTTAATACTTGATTTACAACTGTAAAACTGCTTATCTAGTGACCCTGTTTGACCCCCAATTGTCTACACCATTAAAAAACACATTTTATAGAGCATGTTTACAAATCAGACTTCTATAGGTGCCATTATCAATAATTAGACCGATCTGCCCTGTAATCAAATCCCATAACCTGATGCCTGATGTCAGCTTCTAGGCCCACAAGGAAGAAAAATGACTAATGAGATCCTCCTAGACAGAAATTAGATTAAACCGGAGGTTATAATATGTTTCTCCTGCGAAAAAGACCCCAGTAATCTCACATGTGTCTCCTCTAGATTTGAGAAGAGATCTCAGAACCAAAGTATGTGATCTCAATATGGGAGAAACGTTGAAACAAAGTTGATAATTGACATATAACCGAGAAAGCATTCTTGTAAAGCAACCGTTAACCATCATAAAAGGAGAGAGATGAACCTGACAGCAGTTTTCTCTGTTGCTTCTGGGACGTCTGAAGAGGGAAGCTCATCCGCCAGGATCTCTTCTATTCTGCGTGGATCGTCTGGAACGTCGCTCTGAACTTTGACCTTCTCCTTCTTGCACGTCCCAGCAGTGAGTGTGTTCAGTAGTGCACTCTGAGACTTTGAGCCTGGAAATCAGATGAATGAGAGTCAAAGAAAGACTTAAACCCTTTGATAAACAATGAACAAATCCCATTCACTCTCAGAAAAAAATGTTTGAAAAATTGTATCTTTAGGGGTACAACAGCTTGTCACTGGGGCAGAACCCTCAAAGGGACACCTTTGTACCTTTTTACCCCTATAGAGTTCATAATAGTACCAGTGACAAGCTGTCATGCTATGTTTTCAGTATACTACCATCTAAAAAACAACACATTATGTCTTTGTCTGCCACAATATGACAATCTATGATCCCCCTTGCCCCCATTTCTCCGTCAATAATATTGCAAATATTACTATTAATACATTTAATCTCAATTTATTTATTTTCTTTCATATTTTATTGCACTACAGCATTTTATGCATTATTATTTGCTGTATTTGTACTCACTTAATATGCACACACAGATATGCTGCAAATATTTTAACAATGAACAAATCCCAATAATATGACAATCTATAATCCTTGAATCCATTACCTTTTTTTTTTGTTGTTACACTATAACATTTTATGATTTATTTTTTGCACCCACTGTGCGCACACACACACAAAATGCAAATTGGTTTGCTGATTTGAAAGCATTTTTTAATCAATTCCTAATGAAACATATTCTGTTACACCAAATAATGATCTTTAAAAAAGCATCATATGACCCCTTTAACATTTATTTTATTTTAATTTTTTTTTGCAGTGTTCTGATTCAAAATAACCGTAATGGCATCAGCAGACCAAAATTCTAAGACTAAAAATGTACTTAAAGCCTCCTCTTGGGAGCCTGATGGCTCAGTTGTTGATTCATAGTAAATTATATTGATTTGCTCCCACCAAGCCTGTGCATATCATTATCATCATGAGCTCATGTGTTATTCAGATGTAATCTTTATGCCATCTCTGAAAAACTCGTTTCTTTGGATGCAGTATTATCCCCAAATTAACTCTTGAATATCTTGATAGATGCTGCCATCTAGTGGCATGCCCATGTAAAGTGTAATGCCTATTAAAAAAAACATCAGCCATCTGACGGGGTAATAATGACCAATATTGAAGTGAAAAAACTAGTCCCAGACCATTGCCGCAATGTAAGATATTCAAGTTTTCTCTAGTGTTATTTTAGTATCAATATACCATTATAGTTTTTCTTAATATTTTTTTATTGGATTTTTTCTCTTTCCATTTCAGTTTTAAAGTTTTAGTATTTTGTTGTGCGTTTCGTCATTTTTATTAGTTTTTGCTTTTTTTTTTTTAAATATGTCTTTATTAAGTTTTACTTTAGTTATTTTAGCACTTAAAAACTAAAATTAGAACAATTAGAAGCTTTTTATATATAATTTACGTATGTATTTATTTTTTGTTTCTTTTACTTATAGATAATGGTAATTACTTTTTACTGCTTTAAGTTTTGCAAAACGCATTAATATTAGAAGTTAAAAATATGAATATGTTGATGATTTAATGAACAGAAACTAAGCTTACAAAAGTCACATAAAAGTTTCAGAGAATCTGTGGGGTTTAAAGACTGGTTGAGATATTGAACTTTTGTAAAAGTAATAAATTGTGGATTTGTCTCTGGATCTCTTAGCTGAGATCCAGATTAAGCCCATGTTTATGTGGTCTAGAGAGATCTTAAAACCACAAGATGAAGACTCCAGCTCTTTTCCAGTCATTTGTGATTACTGGACAATGTTTTTTTTTAGAAATGGAAGTTTCAGTTTTCCACGACCGTGCAAACCCAAGACATGCTGTAAGTGTTTCTGCAGCACTTTGTAGAATAAAAGCATCTGTTATATGAATACATTTAATTGCAAATGTGCTCTTTCTACTTCATTTCAGCCCTTCCCTTTTGAATATGAAACAAGATGTAGATTTATACAAAAATGAAATGTAGGTAGGGCACTGTGAATTTGTTGCTTTCTAAAAAAATAAATAAACACATACTTACGTGCAAATCTCGCCAGCGGCCTGCTGTTGGTCTCCCCATCCTCATTAGCCACTACAGAGAACAACAGAGAGAGAGACAGAGTTATATGCTGGCATTTCTGTCTCTCTCTGTGTGTGTGTGTGTGTGTGTGTGTCTCTCTCTAAAAAACATAAAATACCTTTTTTCGAAAGTTTTTTTCAGAGGCTTAGTAAAATACATCATTAAAAATCTTTTTTGGCTCCTTTCTTAATGTGACTTTTTGCATAATGTGAATATAATGAAGCGAGCTGCTGGAAAAGCGTGGAAGCCTGCTTTTAAACGACTGTTATATGAGCCTTTCATTAGGATTTGAAATGGGTCTTGGTCAGTAGGGGACTGGAAGGGTGTTGTTAGTGTACTGTGAGTCACTTCTAGTAAAAAATAACACAAGAACAAGAACAAAAAAGGCAGAGAAAATCAGCATGATCCACAAGAAAGTCTTCGGCGATGCTATAATGAGAAGGGCAAACATTTCTATTTACTTATTTTTAATTTATAATAACAAACTGCTTTTCCAGATGCAGGTGTTTTTTGCATATTGCTATGCGAGTTGCTTTAGGGTGTTCTAGGAGGCTAGTTGGGGTTACAAGTCAAAAAAAGCCTCAAGTCAAGGGATTTTTTTTTTTCAGTTATTTTTGATTATCCACAAAAATCATAAACCCAATCATGCTGTGCAAATAGATTTTTTATCATTCATGGGTCAAACTGTGTAGGATGAGTTGCAAAGCAAAGTGTAATACTTGGGGCAGTGTTGTTATCGTTTTATAAACCTAAAACTGTTAAAAATCTTTTCTGTAATTAAAAAAAAAGATATATAAAATATTACATGTATAATTAAAAAAAAAAAACTGGCAACAAAAAGTTGATTTGTCCACTAACTGAAATAAACTAAAATTTAAGTTATTCACCTAAAATCTATATTTTAATTAATTTTTAAGTTTTAGTTTTACTTATTTTAGTACTAATAAAATATGTTTTTGTTTTTTTAATGTTTTATGTTTACATTTTAGTTTTTAAAATGTTTATGTTTATTTAAAATAATAACACTTTTATGGTTTTAGTTTTAGTTAATTGCTTTTTCCAAGTTATTCATCTAATATTTATATTTTAATAGTTGATATTTTATATATTTATATTTTATGGTTAAGATACCAAGATTACTAAAAAATAAAACTGAAAAAATTTAAGTAAAAACAAATCATATAAAATATATATTAGAAACATTATTTAAAAAGCACATAACAAAATTACTAAAACTAAAATTAAAATGACAACTGAAAACGTAAAACATAAAAAGCTTGTTCAAGATATTATATTAATAAATACTATCATGAAAAAACTATATAAATAATACTCAAATAATAACACTGACTTGGGGTTAGTGATTTGAATAAACATCTAACTCCAAGTATAAGCAATAGTACCAATAATGCATGCATTTGCATCTTATTACACCAACAAGAGTTCAGTCGGTGCATTACTATGTGTGTGTAAATCTAGTCAGTGCACAGGCAGGTTCAAAGTTGAAGAGATTCTTTAGCTGGGTTGTGAGAGCTGCTTCTCTGCATTAAATGTAAATCGCATTAGCAGGCAGAGTCAGGAAAACAAAACCAGTCGATGAGATCTCATTTCGAGCGCATACGTTGTTCGAGCAGGGAAAAACATGCATTAGTGAAGTAAAACACCACACAACCCCCATTAAGAGTCATGACATTCCGTATCGAGACCAAAACACACACGCACGCTATGTTTCTCCAGCACGAAACCCATTAAAAGCCCCCAGAGTGACACCGAGGGCGGAGAGGAAGTTGTCACGCTGCTTTAGCCAATCATCATTAAGTTAACAGCAGCTCGTTGTCACGCTCCACTGGACCCAATTGACAACACGTCACACGTAATGAGCTCAAAGCACACTGAGCAATTGATTGCTGGGCTGCGTAACCATGACGACAGGCAGATGTTTGAAAAAGTCAAAGCATTATGATGTGAGATTCCCTGCTGTGATCTTGTATGATGATTAACTAGTTTATCTACAGTATTAAAAGTGCATTAGTTAAGTTTTGCACGTAAGGAGCTTCCTTCTATAAATGCATCGAGACAGACAGTAAAAAAGCATCTCACACCTCTGATGTTTCCATCATAACACCTTTCCTGACCGCTGTCCTCCCACGTGGGTGTGTGTTTCTCAGAAAAAACGGCCGATCGACAGGACGGTGTGTATGGAAAAATCATGTACCTCATTAATGTGTTCATTATCTCAAAATAAACATGACAAGGCGATCAGGATCCAGACACGATGCGTTTATTTTGAGATAATAAGATAATGAGCAGCTTATGGACATGAAATATTGATTTGAGATTAAATTATGTTATCATGTAAGAAGGAAGACATGAAACTAGTGCAAACTAGTTGCCTGGGTCAATGGCAATTGTAAAGTTTAGTGATTATTAGCTATACAACAATATATGACCACAAGTGACCAATCAGAATTGAGTATTCTAATAATCTGTCAAATTTGGTTTTTGAAAGGCAATCAAATTTGACAGATTCATTTGAAATTTAGATTTTGAAAGGATGAGTTGAGAGGCAAAGTTAAATACTTGTGTTGTTATCATTAAATAGAAATCGTTTTCTGTAATTGAAATAAAGCTGAAATAAAACTAAATATAAATATTAGACAAATAGTTTACAATAAAAAACTGGCAAAAAAAGTTGGCAACTAATGGAATTAAGTTTAAGTTAAAGCACTAAAATTACTAACAATAAAACTAAAATAAAAACAAATGAAAGCTAAACAGAAATATTTTTAAAAAAAATATTTAAATATTTTTTTTTTAAAGTTATATGGTTTAGTGGTTATTACACAAAAATATCTGATCATGACTGACCAATCAGAATCGAGTATTGTAATGAGCTGTAAAAACATTTATTTAATTTATTATTACATTTTCTTTTGTTGGTCAAACTGTGTGGTGAAGTTAAATACTTTTGTTATCATTAAGTAAAACAATTACAAATCATTTTCGGTGATTGAAATAAAGCTGAAATAAAATAAAACAAACAGACTAATAATTTAATTTAAAAATGGCAACAAAAAGTTGGCAATGAACAGAATTACGTTTAAGTTAAAGCTCTAAAATTTCAAAAAATAAAATTGAAACAAATTGAAGCTAAAAAGACATATTATATTAAACATAAATATTATATTAAACATTTAAATATTTTTAAAAAATGATATGGTTTTGTAATTAGTATGAGTATTCTAATACGCCGTATAATAGATGATGGATCCCTATATCCTTGCAATAATCACTTTTAGATGATTCTTTAATATCTCAGTTGTTTCTCCTAGACAGCAATGAAATTACATGGAGAACAAACTGAGACTTCTGTTCAAGCTTCCTGCTTTTCTGTCTTTCACTGTTGAGAAAAACACTCACATCTCCTCTAAAGCCATCTCAGCGATGTCTCAAACTGTGCTCAGAAGTCTGACATGAAAAGTCAGTTATCATTAACTAAAACAGTTAAAAACTTTTTTTTATTTAAGTGAACCTGACATTAAATAAAATATAAATAATTAATAACTAAAAATTACAACAAAAACTTGCCTTGGCAACTAACTGAAATAAGTCGAAGCACCACAATTACTGAAAAAATGAAATAAACTAAAATAAAAAATAATTTATAAAAGAAACTAATTGAAATAAAAACAAATAGAAACAAAAGGTAATAAAAATGCATATAAGATTGCAAAAAAAAAAAACATTTAAATGAATACTGAAAATATAAAAAGCTCATTTAAAATACGAATAAATACTATAATAATATATAATCGATGCCATAATAACACTGACTTGGTGTTAGAGATTTGAATAAAAGTCTAAGTATAAGCAATAGTAACAAGTAATGCATGCATTTGCATCTTTTCTTTTTTTTTACATCAACAAGATAATGCACACTTCAGTGTTTTCACAAACATTTCTCTTCAAATTATCCCCTATTCTAACCAGATTTCCAGGCTACAATTCACATTTATTTTAGACTTCTGTATGTACTGTTGTCTTACTGTAAAAGAACCGTAACAGAAACATCAGAGACGAAGCTGATACTTAAATGAGAATTCATTCAATCTTATACGCCATGCAAAAACAATAGTTTGCTCTGAGTAGGTTTGTGTTTGATTGTGTATTTTGTGTGTGTGTGTGTGTGTGGTCAGGTGCATCTTACTCTGGTTGCTATGGCACCGTGGAGTTGTGCTCACCTGAAAGAGTCTTTTCAGAAATCAAACACTCACACATCACATCCTGAAATCAACACATCTGTTTGTATAAGCACTGATGCACAAAACAACTGACTCTACTGTACATCTGCAGCCGTGATGCATTTCCATCAAACCCCGATTCTGTCATCTGTTAGTTTCTTACCAATGGTGAAGCTGAAGCCGTCGATGCTGAAAGTGGCACTTCTGCCTTTGGTGAAGCCCTTTTTTCTAGAGTCCGTTTCTGACATCTTTTCGTTCTCTCGTGTTGTATTTCGCGAGTAAATCCCAAAGTTGTGCGCGAGTCTTTTGTCTCTGGTTCGTCAGATCTCTCTATCCTGACCTGCTCTCACGCTGTACTCTCAGAGGAGAGACACTATTTCTCTTTTTCTATCATTCTCGTCCTCTTTCGTTCTCACTGTCTCATTTTTTTCTCCCCGGCTGAATGTGAGTCCCCTCTCAACAGAGCACTTAGTGTAGCAATGCATAACATAACACACTCTGCCCCTCGCGAAGCACATTTGAAGAAAAAAAAAAAAGCAGCTTTGTCCCCCCGCGTGTGAGGATGTGCGCGTGTGATTTTATCATCGAAATGCAATCAAACCTATTTCGAATCGCTGCGGACTTGTTGAACACATTCCCAGAAATGCGTCTAGCTGGGCCAAGGCCGTGAGGTTTATGTATATTTTGGTAAAGCGTGAATCATTAATTTCTATTCAAAGACTGTTGTTTTTAAAAAGAGAGAGAAAACTATTGAGACGAATAGACAGGTGG